CAGGAGGAACTCTGGAATACCAATCATTTCAGCCTGATTGTGCACGAGTGCTTTCGGTGTTTAGAAAATAATAAGCCGCTGCAAGGGCTTAATTATGAAGATTGTCCGAAGGCTATTCGTGTCCCTGTCTCTGACTCAGGTATTCTTGAAGCTAAAGCCTTCCACTCGACCGCGCGAGTCCGCCACGCCCGATTGGATGCTGGCTTTACTGCAATAGGCCCGCAAGGGTGGCGGTATTGCCACTCCTTGAGGATTGTTAAGCTGCCGGATACGGTCGCGACGTTAGGTTACGCAGTCTTCCAAGGCTGTTACTCCCTACAGGTAGCAGAAATGCCGGGGTGTGTGGAGTTTGGTGTCGGAGTATTTGCTGAGTGCTGTGCGCTAGAGAGCGTGGGCAATATTGTTGATGGAGGTTGCCATCTTGCAATAGGTGCCATTGTCAGCCAATATGCCTTCGAGGAATGTGATAAGCTAGCTCATCTATCCCTGCCTCATGTACGAGCAGTAGTTGATAGTCACACACTCACATCCCCGCAGGCAGGACTCCCTCAGGGGTGCTTTTTTGCAAGCGGTATCCAGCAAGTAGAACTCGGAGAGGACACATACCACATAGGCCACAGAGCCCTAGAAAATTGCAAAAGGCTTACCCGAGTCGACCTCTGCAACACGGGCATTCACATCCTTCATATGCACACCTTTGCGCAGCGCCACAGCTTAGTTACGATTTTGCTGCCGAACTGCCTGAGCGAAATTAGAGCAGAAGTGTTTGTAGGGTGCAATGCCTTAGAAGGCTGACTCTTCCGGACAGCATTCACTATCTAGGATACAGGGCCTTTGGGGATTGTACAGAACTCTCCTCCCTAGAGTACGAATGGAGCAAGCAGAAAGCGTGGAGGCATCCATATGCGGCTGACAATGCCTTTGAAGGATGCCTCAAATTGACCACCCCTAAATGGCTCCACCGCATCCCAGCCAAGGATAGCGATTGGATTGCCCCGTGTTATTGACGGAAGTGAAGTAACACCTTCCACAACTCCTAGAGTAGTGAAAGACCTGAGTGAGCATGGACGGTTACCCAAGTAACTGCCCCTCTGCACTGTGAGGCTCAAGCCCCAGTAGCTAGTACAGGCACAGGGTATACTACGGCCATGCACAGTGACATGGAGTCGCAAACGAGCTCGCTGGTCGGTCATGAACGACAGCTGGTGGCCTACCTGCAGTTAACGTCTCTCTCAGGAGAAGACTATCAAATCACAGTCGATCTCCAAGAATTTGATCGCTTTAATGAGTTTGAAACTGCAGTACTAGAGCAGCTCCCCACAATAGGAGGCACCAGCACATTTGGTTGTGAACTCACCTTTGTTAGACAAGACACGGGGCAGCTCCTGTGCAGTCCGGTGTGGGACGCCCTCAGAGATTGCAACCAGTTTCAAATAGTTGTACGCCAATGCTGTCAGTGCGCAGAGCACAAAGGTCAGATGCGGCAGAATGCAAAAGCAATCCGAGTGCCTGTCACCAGATCAGGGCAGGTGATCCCCCACGCCTTCACACATTCGAGCGACCTTAGGCACCTACAAATCGAAGCAGGCATCCACACCATTGGAGAAGCTGCCTTGGCAGCACTGTACTAGACTCCTCATTGTGCACTTGCCCAGCTCATTGCTGAGCCTGAAAGATGGGGCCTTTCGTTGTTGCTACAATCTCCATACGTTTGTCGCTCCGGGGTGCAGAGACTTTGGATGCTGGGTTTTTGAACAGTGTTACGCGCTCGCCTGGGTTGGAGACCCAAACAGCAGTAGTAACCAGCTAGCACCACAAGCAAGACTTAACGTTCGAGCCTTCGAGCAATGTCGCACCTTGAGAACGATTGATCTGGAAAGGGCAGAATATGATCCACGAGACCCGCATCGGGTCATTCCAGAAGGTTGCTTCCTTGGGGCAGGGCTAGAACTGATTGACCTCCCAGCAGATTTCTGCTGGATAGGACCTACTGCCTTTGAACGCTGCGACAAACTGCAGAAAGTAGACATCTCTCGAACTAGCATTCAGGAAATAGTCGGAGGCACCTTCGCACAGTGTCCCTACCTACAGTGCCTAAAGCTGAACAAGACCTTGAGACGCATTGGGCGCGAAGCTTTCCTGAAGTGTAGCGCGCTCGAAATCATACATACTCCACCTAACTTGCTGTACATCAATAAGAGAGCCTTTGCAGGCTGTACACAACTCTGCAAACTCATCCGGATGGGCAAAAAAGGAACATGGAGAGGGACCTTGAGTGACACGACGCGTTCGTAAATAGCAAGATATGACCTGGCAATGGTACTACAGGCCAAAGGGCAGAATGCTGACGGTCTAGGCTTTTTGGCTTCTCTGACCCTCCTACAGGCCATGCCTGCGCCACTGAGTAGATAGCCAGCTCCCCTGGCTGCCTTCCAAGAGGTGGTCAGGGATGATACAGTGTACAGAAAACTAGCACTAGGAATAGCGACGTTTCACCCAGATGTTTCACTTAGTTCATGGGGCTTGCATGACAGACCGAACTCTGACGCACTTGAGTGACCCAGGGCTGCTGTGGCATCTCCTTTGATACAACTCGACACCACGCTTGCTCACTTGTCTCTGTACAATGGCCATATAGGTACGTTGTTTGAGACGGACGGTCTTTGGAAACTTGATTGTCTCAACGCATTCTTGTCCTGTGGCACTGTCACAGGTCTCGCGTGCTCCTACCTCCGACCTGCTTGCAGATGTCCTGACTCTCCCGTGCCCCTGTCTGTCTGGCACACTGCGACGGAGACTCCTGTTTGCTGAAATGTCCGAGAGGCATTAGCAGCGTGTGCAAGTTCTTGAAGAGACTCTAACAATTCTGGGGCACTGCCTCTTGCAAATCCGCTGCAAAACGTTTATCCAGAAAACACAACCACGATGCAAACTTCTCTCGAAATGTTGACCAGGTTGATCCTTGATCTTTAATCTCCAACTGTGAACAGTTCGGAATGTAGCTCTCAAGTTTTCCTCCATTGCTTCCAGAGTGTACTTTGTCAGTGACCAGCCAAACAATTGACAAATTTTGGGCTGACTTGCGCGCTCCCTGCAATTGGTTGTTCTCTTCCGTCAACACGAATCATGTCGCTTGATCCGATGTTCTCTATTGAAAACCGCCCATCTCCGAGCGAGGTTCCTCTCACTCATGGTGGCACAACTGCATGAACATGTCCACGGCACGCAAATTTAGTGATTCCTGACTTTCTGTCCTTTGAGCTGTTTGACAGTTTCACTTCCCACAACTTGGTGGGTCAGAGCTTTCCAAAGGCACTTGGTTCAGTTCAGCTTGCACTTGTGAGAGTTCAGCAGTCAAGCACTTGCAAGAGATCTTTCAGCATTTGCAGAAGTGGCGCTTGTGAGCGGCTTGCTCAGGCTTCAGCACTTGCAAGACTGGCTTTGCAAGAGATTTAGTTTCAACATTTTGGAAGAGTTTTGACCAAGTTTTGGCAATTGCAAGAGCCTTGACCAAGTTTAAGCATTAAGTTTCAGCATTCGCAATGTTTGATGACGTTTCAACATTTGCAGAGACGTGACCAAGTTTTAGCATTTGCAGACACTTGACCAAGTTGTATCATTTGCGCGAGGCTTGACCAAGTTTTGCTGATGGTGATGTTGGTGATGCTTGCGATGATGATGCACACGATCATCACGATGATGATGACGGAGAAGAGCGTGGTTTAACAATTGCACTTGGAAACAGTTTTTTGAGCAAATCAATCGCAGGTGCTTCCGGGAGATCCCCCTCGCGGGAAGTACAGCGAGAAGTGGCAAGAGGATAATGAGATCCAGAAGGTGGAAAAAATTGGCAGAGGAGGAATGTGCACACTACCAGAGATTAGGAGGGCAAAAACCAATGATGTCAATGTAGAGTTCAACTCCTTGGCCTTTTGCAGTCAATTTGAGCCTGTATATTTCCCTCAAAAACATTTTCATAATCCTGAAGGGTTGACCAATGACAATCCAGGATTCCATAGTCTACTGAAGACTTTGCCAAATTTGGTTCATCATCCTCATCCAGTTGTCCGTCCTGTTCTTGCCTCTCCTCCTTCTTCTGTGCAAACGCATCCTTCCACCAGTGGTCCTCCATCTGGACCTCATTTCTGTACAATGAGCAGGGAGGCCAGAAACCAGCCAAGTGAGGAAGAGGACAAGAATGTCAGAATCCAGAGGAAAAAAAGACAGAAGAAGACCAAAGGATCAGGCAAGAAAGGCTTGACGAATGACATCATAGGCAGAAAACACTGCACGAGGCAGCAGTGGTTGAATGGCATCAAAATTCCGAAAATTCACAGAGTGGTGAACTGAGTAGGTTCACAGGCCGAGAGGTTCGTTTCCACCAGCATGCAAAAAAAAGGCAGGATTCAGTTTCATCACTTGCTTGTACAAGGCTTAAATTTCACCAGCGAAAAGCAAACTGTAGCGCGACTCCATGTGTTTTCAATTCTGCAAAATGACTTGTGAAGGAGTCGCAATGATGGAGGTATACTTGGATGTGGCATGGTGTATTTGTTGTGTCATGCTGATTAGTCAGGCACGAGAAACGACGGTCCCGGTAGTTAACCTGGAGAAAGGCAATTGTCAATTGTGTTTGTTGACTCCGTTTTGTAGCATGATAGACCATAGAGAAGGGTTTCGTGCTAAACACGCAGAATTGAATGGCAACATGCGTCCCGTGGCACGAAATCTGAAGGTCACCAAGCGCTGCGCGAACAAAGATAATGTTGTGATCGTTGGGGCGCGGGAATTGTCGACGTTTTTGATGGACCAAGTTCGTGAGTTCATGCCACGCGTCCAGTATTTATGTTTTTCAATCACAAAGCTCTCATGGAATGCCCAGCAAGATTCAAAAGCGTTTCGGTTAATGGATTTTGGTACTTTGACACATCCACAACTGAGAATTCAGGTCAGAGGCCTTTATTCCAGATATCATTCGCAGAGATCATTCGTTTCTCACCATGCCCTCGTTGTGTATTGCGTCTGGTGCACCTGTTGGAGGAGGCCAGCATCACACAGCGGTGCGTTTACATGAGGTTGCTTGCAGTTGTTAGCCTGCCAAACTGTTTACACGAGCATACAATCCCCTTTCTGCAAGCTTTAATTTGTGCAGGCACTGCCAGCGCCGCCTGCGCCCCATCAAATGCCATCAACTTGCCAGGTGGCAAGGTTGCTCAACATGTGAAGGCCTGCTGGTTAAATACCAAGTAAAGAGTTGAAAATGATGGCGTTAGCAGCATTTCAACAAGGCTAGGTTATTTGCGAGAGCACAGATTGGCTTGTCAATGAGTGGTTGAAGGTTCCAAAATCGTCATAGTTTTATACACACGGGCCAGGGTTTGCGGTTGGTGCCTGTGGCGCTGGCTTCAGGGGTTGCGGACTTAGTTTGGAGGAAACTGGGGGACGTGTGTTGAAACAGACAGTTCATCAATCGAATAGTGGGGGATGCTTCTGAATAGCACCTAGAAAGTTTGTTTAGTAGGTTGAATCGAGCTCCTTTTTGTTTCTGCACCTTAGATTTACAATGCTCGGAAGCAAACATATCGTTAGGAAGTCTCCTTGGCTGATGAAGTGGGTCAGATGGCTTGGAATTGAAACTGTGTTGTCAAAATTCAATTCATGGTCTTGGAACCAATCAACGCGATGACCACCACAATGTGTTTGCACTATCACTTAGAATCCTCACTTCTTGGATATCAAACACCCTAAGGCTGCAGCCTCCCGGCGCTGGCCTGAGCAAAGGTATTTTTTTCTTTTTGAGCGTTGAGACCCTTCGTTTTCTTCATTTCTTTGACTTTTTGTTTGTTTGTTTTTACAGTATTCTTGTTATTTTTTCTTTCTTTCTTTCTTTCTTTCTTCCGTCCGTCCGTCCATCCTATCCTTTTTGGAAAGCGTTTGCGTAAGGTATGTTTTGCTTGATCGACCCCGAAGGGTTTTTGTTCGGGATGGCATGCGCATCGATGACTATCACCAGGGCAGTATGTTTTTTCTAACCAGTCATTGACCGGACACTGCATAGTAGTTGCTAAATGGCGTTCTTGTCAAGAAGAGAGACATCCCCATCTGATTGGTACCACGAAGGCGGTTTTTTGTTTCATTTTCCAGGCCTGCCCGTCGTCGCCTCGCTTTGCGCAGCCGGGGTGGTGAGCGGCAGGAGAGATGTGTGGAGTTGGGTGCTGAGTCGATTTGGGGTCGGAAGCATTGAATCATGTTGCATTGCCAGAAACATTCTTGTCAGAATCTATTTTTCACATCGACATTTAATGCCAAGGATCTCTTGGTTGAAAGAGGTTTCTTGTGCAACGTGTTTTTCAATGCCACTGAGAGTTTTCTGACACTGTGGGTCTTCCAGAAACAACAACGTCAGAGGTTTTGCTGTGTTGTACTCTGGAAACTTGTGGCAAATGCACACTGGGATCCTACTTTGGGAAAGCTTTCTGATGTGTACCTACATTCTCTGACATGGCAGCATTGCATCTAGACCAGAAGCTCTGGTAACAATGAGGTGATAAGTAGTTCGTAGGAGCTCCAGATAAGACAATAATATATTTGCTGCTTCAGACGCAGCTTAACAGCATCCAGTTTGCCATTCAGTCGACCATCAATCTCCACATGTGCTGATCTTTCATTCCTTCATGATCTTCATATTCCTTTCACTTCCGGGGCGTCCTTTCTTCCTGTTTTCCGGGCATGGCCGGGCGTGTTTTGCAACGCTTCCTTTCTTCGGCTTCTCGATTTCTCCCGAACGCGGCCTGCTGGACTCCAGCGGGCGCCGCCCAGCCGCACCGGCGGAGGAGGAGGGCGACTTCCTGGCCGGTTTTCGCCTCGCCCTGGGGAGTCCGGACGTCTCAGGTGGTGCGGTGTTGGTTTGGTCCGTGCTTTGAAGGGATTGCGTTTGAAAAGAATATCGTGCTGGTTTGAGTCCAAGCCTTTGATGGCATATTTTTGGAAGTTATTATTGGCGCATTGTCTTGAGCCTTGCAGAGTGCCACGAGTGGTGCTAGTAGAATTAAAAGCCAACTTGGAAGGCACAGAGATGAGAGTAGTAGCAAGAAACTACTAGTTACTAGTATCCAGGGCATCGCTATTAGTAGCAAGAAGCTATTAAATTAGGTTAGAGGCCATCGCTACTAGGGTGGAGGCCATCACTACTAGGGTGGAGGCCATGTAGCATGTCTTCAAGTTGCTCGCCCTGCCCAAGATGTGGCAACCCCGAGGCAGGGAGGAGCTGCTCCAGCAGGCGGGGACACCCGGTGACCAGCGCCTGCGCAAGCCTTTGCGCCGGCGGTGGACCAAAGGTGGTGCACCCAACCTAGCAATGGCCTCCATAATAGCGATGGCCTCCAACCTACTAGCGATGGCCTCCAACCTACTAGCACCCAAAAGCAGAGAAAGGATTGGATAGAGAGAGACTTGTGGAAGGCCAAACCTTCAATCACTCCAAAACAGACAAAGAAAAGGGTGTTGCAATCCCAACCCAGCTCACTCACCGGCCGCAGGAAGCTTTCCAACTGAGCCAACCAGGTCCAGAGAAGAATCGAAAGCCACATGACCGTCACATCCGCCGGCTCCGACTCCTGATGCAAGCTTCTGAAGGAGCTGCTCAAGGCGGAGGAGGACTTGGCGCGGCTGCGCCACCAGCTGGACAAGGTGGGTCTCGCAGGTATCGAGGGTGAGGTTGACTGAACCGGTTTGCGTAGTTGGTGGGATGAGGTCATGTCTTTTTGGAGGGGGTCAGGTCAACAGTCGCTGGCGGCTCATGTATATATATTTTTTTGTGGTGATTTTGATTTTGGCTCGGTTTATCCTGCACATGGGGAAAGAGAGGGATCTGCAGGATCCTTATTTGTTGTTTTTGCTGGTCGACACTTGAACTCACCAAGACCAAGACCTGTGTCGAACCTCGGCTTTGAGTGCTGAGATTCTCAGTCTTGCCAGATCGAGAAGGAGAAAGAGTCCTTAGAAGACATCCTTGGCTCGCTGAATCGTGAAGCTGGAGCCCCAGGGGTCGTGCCAAGGTGTGGTTGGCATTGAGATGAGCGTTACCCTGAGCAGATGAGCGTCACTTTGAAGGGATCCGGGATGGCCGCAGTCTTTGAGCCAAAGAATTCAAGTGCAAAGCGGTCGAACTGTAAAAGGCCTTCAACAAAAGGCTTTCAATGCCGATCGACTTAGAACGCCGATCAGTGACCCACTCTTTCACAACACGCTTGTGAGCTTAAAAGACAAGCACCGCTTTCATCAGGGAGTTCCGTTCTTGCACCCGAACAGCAGCAAGGTTTGCAATCTGACGGACTTTCAATATGAATCAAAACGACCTCAAAAATTCTGCGAAGGAACTGTCCAGGTTGATAAAAGGAAGAGAAGAGAAGCAGTCTGACACCAAGTAGCGAGTGGTCATTGACACATTTTCGTGCTTTCTCGGCCACGCCATGCCCATGCCACCTGCACCCCGGCGTGCCTGGTTGAAGCCATCCGAGGTGCAACACGGAACAGCGATGGCCTCCAACCTAATAGCGATGGCCTCCAACCTACGAGAGAATATGTGTTGAAGAGAAGATGAGATTCTTCGAATTCTTCGTGATTCTTTTGTTTTTGTTTTTCCATCAGCTTCACACATATTCTGCACGAAAGGCAACAGCAACAGGGTAGCAACTGCGCTAGAAGACATCACCATCAACAGCAACACGGCAACACGTCTTTCTTTATTTCCTTCTTCCTTTTTCCTGAGGCCCTTTTGTTTGCATTCTTCTTTTCTTCCTGTCGTTTGAACTCAAGCGTTTAAGAGTAGATTCGAGTGGATGGTTTGGTTATGAGATTCACCAAAGCGCGAACTACCTGTGCATTTCTTTGATGAAAATCTTGAGTCATGAGTCACTCTCGAACATCATTTTGAAAAGCTGTCGGTTTGCCTGCAGGAGCTGGAGAATGAGGAGGAGCCAGAGGCACAGGAGGATAGCGAGGACGCTGCGCCCCCACCACGGGTAGCGGTCTTGACCAGCCGATCCCAGGTGGGCTGGCTGCGGGACAGGAAGGAGTGGAAAGGAAGACTCTCGGGACCTAATCTGGCCATTTCGCAGGTGGCCTCCCCGAAGACCAATTTGAAGCATTCGTTTGCCTGGTGGTGCTAGTGAATTTGCAGTATGGAGATGACTGACTGGAGGAGATGAAATAGGACTGTCCAAGACATGTTTGCGTTTGTCCCTTGCCAGAACGTGAGCCTGGCCTGCTGTACAGTGGATCTTACTTTTGCTCACTGAAGACTCGCTCAGTGGCTACTCATTTGAGGGTCACTCCCTTTTGACAGGACATTTTCTTGCTTTTGTTGAATCGATAGGTTTTGTTGAGGTTGCTTGAAAGACCGATGGAAGTCGGTGTTTGGTTGTGAGGCAGAGGCTGAGCCGGCAGAGGAGCTTGAAGGTGTCCAGCGGTGGATGGTGGTGGGGTGCATGTTTGGAGTTGAAAGGTCAAGCTGGAATGGCCTCCAACCTCATAGGAATGGCCTCCAACCCAATAGGAATGGCCTCCAACCTAATAGCGTTTCAAAGGCCTTAGGTAAAGCAACAATACAGGCCTTGCGTTTTTCTGGAACTCATTTGACCTTCAAACATTTTTGCTTGCTCCGTCGCTTGGATGCTCGACCGATGTCTTTGCGGCTTGAGGATGCCGTTGCCTCCGCCGCGGCGGCCTTTGCACGTGCCGGGAAGATGCCCGCTGGCTGCGCAGCAAGCGGGCACAGCTGACCAAGTATGCACCGCCTCACACCAGGCAATGGAGTGCCTTTTGGAACTCTTGATGGCAGACATGGGTACATTATGGGTACAAAAGTGTGTAGCTGCTAGCTGGCTTGAAGAAGTGAAACGTTGGGACAAGCTCATGTCAAACATCCCAATCAGTTTACTGTATATGAGTCACCTGAGTTCTGTGATTTCCCCAGTGCACAAGGCGCGCCGTCCTGCAGCCGGCCACGCCTGATGCCGCCTCCAGCACATGCCGCTGCCTCCGGCGGCATGGGCGCTGCAGCTGTCAGGAGGACGAGCGATGGCTGCAGCGGAAGCGGCGCTGTGTGGAGACCTACGTGCCACCGCACTTGAAGGAGAAAGTCGCGTTTTTTTGGGGTTGGTTTTGGGTTGGGATCACTGGTTGAAACACTTCCGCAACATTTTTGGAACTGGTGGAAAAACATGCCGTGAAATCACGCGAATCAGTTTTGGTTGGATCATTCACTTGGAGGACCCATGGAGGACCGAGAACCGGTGAAGGACAGGACCTCAGTCACCTGCGAGGAGCGGCAGCGAGAGTTGGAGCAGAAGCGCCAAGAAATTGCACAGAAGGCGTCGGGACAAGCTTCTTAGTCTTCGGCCATGCTCGGTCGAAGAGAAGTTCCAATTTTGTGTGAGACTCCAGGTTCAAGGCCTTCATGTTCATGGGTGAAAGCAAAATATGCAAGGGGGTGTATTGTTTTCAGGGTTTTTGCAGGTTTGCATATTCATACCCACACCATTTTTCGTGTTCGTCTTGTGGTCCCCCACCTGGCTGCTTCACGGCGACCAGGCGGAGGCGCCTGAGGCGCCTGAGGCAACGCCCAACATACGGACCTTGGCCAGGCGGAGAAGTCGTTCCGGTGTGGGTCGTGTCCACCGGTCCGGGTCACCTCGGGCATCAGCAACCTTTGGCACCGGCATCACTATATACTGTTGTATAGATCTAGCACTGTCACCCTGACCCCCAACCTGCCTTGCCCACACTGTTTGCTGTTCCCTTTCCCTTTGCGGGGTGTATTTTTTGACATTAAGTTGTGTATGGGACATCAAAAGACATTATGCAACACAGTGAAAAGAACTGTCCTACTTGAATGTGCCCTGTTCTGTTTAGCAGAGTTATTCCAATCTTGCATTCTGTTTACAGTAGTTGCATTTTTTGCGATTCAAGCTCTTGCCTTTTGCAGGATGCTTATCAACAAACAACTGATGCAATGAGGGTTTCTGCTACATAAGATATGGGGTTGGAGATGCAGGATCGGTGTGAGGACATGGATGCAGACATGGGATGTGAAGTGAGGAACGAAGCAAAGAATATCACCCCCAAATACGAGGATCCTTTTTGGCTTCATCGGGTTCCAAATTTCCCGACTTCTTGGGGATGGCTCTGCTTCAAATAACGACGCGTGTTATGTGTCGCCTGCCCCAAGACGAATCCCGTTTGTAGGCGTTGGGAGCCGCACTTGGAAGGGAAGAGTTTCGGCTTCAATCCCTTGCAGCTGGAGGCAGTGGGGGGGTGCTGCGTGAAGGTGGCGAAAGTACCAAGTCACTGAAACGACGAGAAGAGAGGAAGAAAGGTCTGAAATCTGAAAGGAGAAAATAGAGAAAAGACGAATAGCTCTTTCCTTTCCTTTCTTTCGTTCCTTCCTTCTTTCTTTCTTTCTTCAGACCTTGCTTGAGACCTCTCGTCCTTTTGGGTGAATGCCATGGTTGCACATGTTGCATGTTGGGAAGTCGAGTCGGATACCAGTGTCATCAAGATGTATTGGAGGGAATGACTGGATGTTGCAACCGAGAACTGGCCTTCTGAATAAATTAAGCATCATAAGTCATAAGCTCTTCAATTCTACTCTTTCCTCAGGGGGGTTGAAGTTGACCGCCTTTTGCGCACAACGGCGTTCTTTCGAGCGTTGTCGCCGGGATGAATTCTCCCACTTCTGGTCCACGATGCACTATAGTGACTGCAGAAGAACAACTGGTTCCAGCACAGTTTTAGAGATTCCCAACGCCAACCTGTCAGGGTTCCAGCACAGTCTGACGCAGCAGCCTAACACTTCTTCGTGGAGTCCCAGACCCCCCAAGCCTTGGTGAAACGCCTAGTCCCCGGAGCGGTTGCCGACAGGGGAAGATCGTGTGCGACGACCTGGGCCTCGAAGCCGAGTGCCGCGAGAGCCTTTTGCGGAGCCAAGGGGTCAAGGCGCTGCCGCTGGTGCAGTGGGGCAACTACCACTTCGAGGCAACGGGGGTGGAAGGGCGAATGGCCATATGCAGATGGGGCTGGAGATCTGATCTGGATCATTCAGGATCTGTTGGTGCGAGTTGGTTGGCGTCGAATTGGGTGGGCTACTGTGAGTCGAGATTGCTGTAGAATTCTATTTCCTCGGGGTTCTGGTAGTCCATGCTGGTCTTGGCTATGCAGGTGGAGCTCTTGCGGGACTGCCGCTTGGCTGTGGGGTGGAGCAGTGCTATGTCGCACTGCACCTCCTGGGATATGCAGGCGCAAGAAGTCACCAAGCTTTTGCAATGCGGTGTCAGGTGGGTTTAGGTGAACTTCGAAGAAGCAGATATTCAAAAGACGACATGGATTTTCAGGATTTCGGAGAAAGAACATACGGTCTATAATAGATTTTTGTACAATGTCTACAAATACGAGCTTTAAATATGCAGCTATTACGATCTAACATATCTTTTGTTTGAAAAGAATCGATTCGAACGAAGAGTTTTGCCACATTGGGCGCTTGGACGGAGGCCTTTGGCTACACCTCGGAGGCTCAGGTTGTCCACCAGAATGAGCTCAGCGACTATGGCTTGGCTTTTGGGAAGGCGAGAGTTGCTGAGGTCGGTGGCTGAAGGTCATGCAAAAGCAGATACAAGTTGATTGGATGAGATGAAGAACTGACTTGGTTGGAAGGCGCTGAAGCTCACTAACGGTTTGGGAGCAAGACATTTGGGCTGAGTGAGCTTGGCTCGGCTTCCCGTTGACCCAGCTGTGGGTTGTGAGGCCGGTGACATTGTCGGCTCGCTGGTGGAATGGAAGGCCGACCAACTGGACGCCGTGGCTCCTCGCGGTGCTGCGATAAGACACTCAAGGGGCAATCTAGGGAAGTAGAAGCAGGCGCAGTCGATGTCACAGATTGTGGGTTTATAGTTTATAAGTTCTCAGCGTATTGTCATCCAGACCATTCCAAGAATTGCAACAAATGTGTTTGTAAGCCGCGAGGGTATCTCAAG